AATAAGGCTGTGAAACAGTTGCAATTACGCTATGACAAAATGGAGTTACTCACAGAAGTTTACATTCGAGATTTAATATCCATTGTGTTATTAAAACGTAAGTCTCAAACGTCTTCACTTCGAAAATTGTATGATCAGTTAGAAACGAAACTAAGAACTTTAGAGACTTTAGGAGTTACCAAGACAAATATGCTGCAATACTTTACCCTCTTGTTGAGTCATCTCTTTCGGATAAAACTTTAAAAGCATGGGAACATTTTAGAATCGACAAACGAAGGAAGAATTCTCCGAAGGAACGCCCTCTTTGATTAAGTAATGCCTACTAATGATATGATATAGATCACATTGCTTGGCTTTTTTCAAGAGGAAGTGAAGGGCAGGAGAGAATTTTGATCTCCACTCAAAGTTTCGACCAATGTAAAAAGACGAACTATTTTAATAACCGTCGATAGACTATTGAAAGGAAATTTCAGCCCAGAATATCATCAGCAACAGAACTCTTGGCATCGAATCTAAATAATAAAAAACTCTGCATATTTTGTTCTGAGGAGCATAAATCGTGGAACTGTAAAAAAGCTTCTAAATTAATATAACAAGAAAAACAAAGTGCTGTTGAAAAGGCCCGCTGTTGTTTTCTGCATTTAAGAGATGAACGCGGGATAAAATCGTGCCGCTCGAAAATGAATTGCCAATTGTGTGGAAAAAACACCATTTATTTTTGTGCAGAGCTTTGTCACAAGAACATAATTCTTCCACGGTTCACAAAAACGATGAACCGTGCGAACCAGTGTTACAGCATGATGAAACTCTGACCAACTAGTCTAAATCTTCCAATGTTTTATTACAGACTTTAACAGTGTAAGTAAGGGGGAAAACTATTAAACGGAAAGCTCGAGAAAAAGTAGATTCTGGTTCTCAGTGATCGTATATTCTCAAAACAACGGCGGAAGAAATGAAGTACCGTTCCAAACGGAAAGAGTATCTACAGCATGCCTTGTTCAGGGCCACACTATAAAGAACGTGGACACTATGGCATTAATCTAACAGAAGATTTGGATGGTCTGATTGAAGTTCTCATCTGAGCAGACATTACGAGAAAGTTAATCACATTAAACCATCTGCAACTAAAGAATGGACTTACTGCAATTGAAACAAAGTTGGGTCGCACAGTCATTTGGTTGCACAAATAATGAGAGTTCAGGTTTATTAATTGCTTTTAGTGCTCAGAACTAGTACTTGCATTCCAGAATTGTGGACTTTAGATTCTCTGGGTATCACTTATCTATCTGAAAAGAAAACAGCGATTGAATTAGAAGAAGCAGCGAAACAAAATTTCTTGGATACACTTAAGCTAGAAAATGAAAGGTTTTTAGTGAACTTACCTTGGATTGAAAGTCATCTTCCACTTCCTGATAACTTTGAGCTTTCTGAGAAAAGTTGTAAAGAGTCTTAAAACCGAAGGACGTTTTGAATCATACGGAAAGGTGTTTGAAGAATGGTTAGAGGAAAATATTATAGAAGAAGTGCCCAAAGGTGAATTGCGACTTCCTGTACATTATTCACCTCCCCATCCTGTTTTAAACGAGAATATCACAACCAAAATCCGACCCATTTTTGATGCTTCGGCAAAACGGAAAGGCACATTGAGTCTCAATGGTTGTTTAGAGCGTGGGGTAAATTTGATTGAGCTGATACCAAATACTTTGTGTCGTTTACGGTTGGAAAAAAATTATCTTATAGCCGACATTCGCAAAGCTTTTCTACAAATTTGTATTCCATCTTCAGATAAAGACTATTTGCAGTTTTTGTGGATAGGAGAAATTGGCCAACTGAAGTACTTTCGACATCGCCATGTAGTGTTTGGTGTGTAGTGTAGCCCTTTCTTACTTGGAATTGTAATTCTACATCAGCTGCAAAATGTTTTAGACGGTAATGATGTGGAATATCCAGAAAACGTGTTAAAATTATTGAGGAAAAGTTTCTATGTGGATAACTGCGTAACAAGTGTGCCGAACGAACAAGAATTAAAGCTTTTCATTAAAGTTGAAACCAATGTTATGGTTAAACGAAAATTTGACTCATGAGGCTGGGAATGTACAAATTTCACCAAAGAAATCACTCCCGTTACAAATGTGTTGTAAATGTGGATAAATGTGTTGCAAATGCGGTGAAAGATGAAGATACGTTAGGTATCAGTGTGACTAGTTTGAGGGAGTTTTGTGTAAAAATAGTTACGGAGAAAATTTCTGCTGGTCATCGAATCTTCAATTCCACTGGTGGGACTTGCCCTGTTGCGTTATTCCCGAAACTTTTATTGCAGAGAACTTGGGAGAGGAAGAGGAAGAGGTTGACTCTGAAACTAAAGCAGAATTTCTGAAGTGGATGAGAAATATTTTTTTATTTAGAAAAGATGGGCATTCCTCGTTATTTGAAAATCGGTGATGACAATGAAAAATATTCTTTACATTTCTTCTAAGATGCAATCATGTATTCCTATGTGACATTAGCTTTTTTTCGAGTTAAAACTAGTGAATGTGTTACAGTACAGTTATTGAGTGCTAAATCCAAAGTTTCCCCAACTGAAAAGTAAAAAGCAACTATCGCTAGACTAGAGTTATTTGCATCCACAATTGCTCCTCTTCTTGTGAGATTCCACATGGAGAAGTTTACTTTTGGACGGACTCCACTACTGTACTTACTTGGATTAAAAGAGAAGAAGCGTTGGGAACCTTTGTTCAAAATCGAATATCTGAAATCAGGACTCTGACATCCAAGGAGAAATGGAGACACGTGCCAGAAACATTAAACCCTGCTGAACTTCCAAGCAGAGGCTGTTCTGCAAAGAAAATGATATAGTCAAAATGCGGGAGGGCCCTGATTGGTTACAATTATCTACTGAGAAACGGCATTCTTCAGAATTAGTCGTGAATGAAGATGAAGATCTTAAGGAACGGAAGAAAACTGTTGTTTAATTTTCAGCTACCTGCTTGACTACTCAGATAATAAATACAGATACTGATTGGTACTATCGTAAATTTTCACAATATAAAAAAAATGTGCGCATGATTAGATGGATTTTGAGATTTTTCGGAAATTGTAAAAATCGGAAGAATTGAGAAAACAAGGAGATCTGAATGTAGAGGAATTTTCAGTAGCTGAGAAACGAGTAATAAAGATAATTCAAAGAGAAGCATTCTGAGACGAGAAAGGTAAGAAATTGAGAACACTAAAAGTTTGTAAAGATGAAGATGTTCACATCAGATTAAGAACAAAAATTTGCCATCGAGAAGACAGCCATTCTTTTAAAAGACCTGTGATTCTCCTTTCTCAACATCAGGTTATGAAACTTCTAACATTTTCTTTTCATTAAAGGCATGAACATGTGGTGACTAAAATGTTACTTACTTTTCTGAGGGAACGTTTCTGGATATTATATGGGAAAGGGAGAACCACCAGACTCGTGGAACTTCGAACAGCTTAATGGAGAAATAATGGGAACGATACAACTGTTGTTTCCATTAGAGATTATATATGCAATGGCTAAGAATGTTCAAGCTAAAATGCAAAGAAAGCAAGTATGTCATTCTGAAGTATCCCAGGCACGAATAGCAGACCCTGCAGAACCCATTACACGAACTGCAACAACTCGATCTGGAATAGGTACCAAAATACCAGAAAGACTTGATTTGTAACGCGATTGTTGAGTTATGAAGTTTCCCAACTCAAGGTGCGAAGATGTAGAAATCTGAGTGTTAAATTTATGCATGCGTATTATTGTCAGTATAACTACACTTTTTTTTTAACGTAGCAAATGCTACTGTTATGAATTTCAATATACTGGTAAAAGCTTTCAGTAGTTATAGGCCAGGAGTAAATTTTACGATACTCAATATACTCTCAGTTCAGTCGTTTAACTAAGTTTTTGTTGTTGATTGTAGCGAATTCGCGGTGAGATCGGATTAGCTTTCTCTGTACTTTGGATTGAGTTCTATTTAAAGTTTTAGTAGTTTAAAATATAACTAATGTGTGATATTTTGATATTGTACGAATATCTGTGAGGAAAACGTTCATTTTGTTTCATTGACTTTTTATGGGACTTGTGATTACGAACCCGTACCCGCGCAACAATACTTAAAAATTCACAAAGCTTAACACCTCGGGAATCTGAAATTATACTATGCCAAATTTCAGATTTACTTTTGGCATCCACAGCTCAAATCAATCTGTTACAGTTTTTTGAAGCTAATCTTACATTTAATTTTATGCAAATCTAAGTCAATACTTCTGTTGGATTCAAAATAACAAGAGAAAAAGATAAAATCGTGAGTATTGAGAGTAACATGAAGAAACACCATATTATAATCAAGAATAATAATTAGCTTTTATATAAGTATTTGCTTCTGAGTTTTATTTATATTCCTATGCATTATAATTCTTTTATAAAAGTGCTTACTTTTTTTACATAACTGCATCTTTGTAAAATTTTAAAAACTATTAACAAGAATGAGAATTTATATTTGCTTTTTGTACTCACTTAGTAAATCCATTCTAATGCTTTACTCCAAAAAATTACTTTCATTTTATTCGATAAAATTCGTACAATTCTTTTTTCTTTTTAATTTTTAGAGTTGTTTATGACATAAGCCGAAAGACGTAGACATATTTGAATAATTTTTTGATGTATGCTTAATTAAAATGTTATTTACCGAACAGAAATGAATAGTTTTTCTTGACCCAAGTTGTTTACCTTGAATATTAATCAAGTAACAAGTTCGAGTACTTCTTTTGAAATACTGCATTAAAACAACGATGATTTTTTTGCGTTGCCATTAACGTAAAAGTTACGAAAAAATACTTTTTGTATGATATTTCGTTAAATTTGTTGTAAAATTTCAAGCATCTTTGAGAGAATTTTTCAAATAATGCTGAATATTTCAACTAGATGGCAGTAGTGTAGCAAACATTATCAGTTACTAGATTGCAAATGCCATTGGCGGTTGATTCAGTGGAATATGCAATAAGTGAGTAAAGGGATTGAAACGAAAACGGTTAAAATCACTGTGGATTTGAATGTTTAAATCGTTTGATAGATTAAAATGTCACGGTTTATTGAATTTGATCCTGCTAAACAGCCAAGGTTCAAAGTAAGCTTCTTCTTTTTTAAATCCAATTAATTAATCTGTATACTGTTTTCTTAATGACATTAAAAAAGAGAAAGGAAAATATTACTAGACAAAAATAGCTATGATTCGTAGTGACACTTAACGTGCCCAAAAATTATTATTATTAATTTTTTTTAGAATAAGTGCAGATTCGTATAATTTTGTATGTATTTTAAACAGTGATTTAAGAGAATGCTAATGAGAAATTTGCATATTTCAGTACCGTTTATTCAAAGAGTGAATTTCGAGAAAATAATGCAATTCGTTTTAGTGACTTTTAAATCGTATCTTCACTCACTTTAAATGAATAATTACTGTCAGTCAGTCTACAAAACTTCGTTAACTTAATGTTGCATCGAATTAGTAATTTTTTTTATTTCATTTAATTTAACTTCATATAATTTGAATTTTCAAATAACAGAAAATTTTGAGTGAAAATATTACAGGTAATGGATAAAAATTCTTATATTCATTACCTGTAATATTTATTAAATATATATTTTTATTATGTAATAAATCTTAAATAAATTTAAAAAAAAGCTGTACAGGGTTTAGAACATTTTCAGAGGCGAAAAATGTGAGAAATAAACTGCAACCTCTTAATGATTCGAATCACGCATCTTCTAAGTGCCAGATGGACATGATAATTAATTACGCAAACGCATTCGTACAGGAATGCGAAAATTCCTCATAAAACTGTTTACTGTATTTTATTCATAGACAGCAGAAAAATCTCGAATACTCAAGCCCTTTTGTATAATATTAATACCTAAATATTTTGTTTTTAAGAACTCTGTTATAATTAAAATTTTCCATTGAGTTTGTAAAAAAATTACATATTTGAGTTCATTGATACATTTTATTTATAAAACAAGTATCTTCGAATTTATTAAACTATTCATGTTAGAATATTTTAGTACTTTCCCATTTTCTGACACCCCACAAAACGTCGAAAACTCATTGGCATCTTATTAAGTTATGAATTACGAATTAAATGGATCAGTGAAATTATGATTAAATTATGAATTATCGAAAAACGCTTGTTTGGCTATTTTTACATCTCAAAGATACTGCTTAGTTAATAAATTATAGTAAAAAGAAGCAGTTAATAAGAAACAAGATCTATGAAGTAAAAAAATGTATAGTCGGTGGATTTGTTTGAAGCTTGCGGCCTTCAAAATTCCTTTGCAACAGTTTTTTTCTTTTGCTTCCTGTGAATCTTCTTTCAAATAACTTCAGCAAAACAAATCGAGTATTCAAATACGCTGGTGGTACATGCATGCAAGGCTTGGCTATTGTAGCCTATATAATCTAAAATACGCTAAAAATGCAACATTTTTACTGAATGTTTAAACCCGGGAGGGGTCTAAGGTGTGCAGATAATCAGAATGTACCGATATTTTCCCTATTTCTTTACTCTTTTTCTTACTTCTTTCCCGGTCTGTAATCCTCATTACTTTTTAATTTACTTTTTATTTGTCACGCTTCCTAAATTAAGTGCTAGTCAAATAATATATATGTATATTAATTTTAACTCTAATTTTTTGGCCAAATAGAAATTATTGAATTTAAAATATCTGTGTTCTTAAGTGCCAGTCTAACTAACTTCACAGACCTTGTCGCCCTATGTCTTCGGTTATTTATACTCACACTTTATTCGGGCCTGGGATCTTAGGTTTAGTGCAAATAATTAATAAAGATTAATTACAACATTTTATTATACTCTGGAACATCGGCCGAAATAAATCAGTAAACAATGGATAATAAATGAAATAATCCTGTTAATAAAATAATGGATAGTAAATGAAATTTGTGACGAGCAGCCTCTTTTTAAGAAATATTTTTTAACAGTCGCAAAAGATTATTCTTTTTAGATGCTTTGTTTTTTAACCTCTTTCTTATGTATCTTCTAATAGAAGAGTTAAATAAAGAATGCTACAAGCTCCTTGTTTGCAGAGCTTGATTTCTAAAAATAGATGTTCCGGACCCTTGTGTAAGATTGTGAAGAGCGGTGAACGAAAATAAATAAAATGTAATTAAAAGTGTATAAGATATAAAAAAAATATATATATATATACTGAAAATTAAGTTACATTTAATAATAAATAGATGAAAATTAAATAATCATACAAATTAGTAAAACAATAAAGCAAATGAATAGTGAGTAAATTAATAAATTAAAAATAATATCATCAAAATCAAAGGGAAAAATAAAACAAATGTAAAATGAGTATAAATTATTAGTAATAAGAAATGGTGCCGAGGATGAAAGGAAGAAGTTATTTTAAACAATATTCTCTGTGGTGAGATGAAACTACATCTTTATTTTCGTGTTGGTTTCTAATTCATTTAAAGCATCTTTGACCAGATGGATACAGTCCGTAAAAATTCCTCTGCCTGAAAGCATAACATTTTAGATAGCATATTCTCTCTCAGTTCAAGTTTTCTTGAATATTAATTCATTGCTTAGAACCGATATAAATTTTAGTTAGATTATTTAAATATTGCAAAGCCATAACGGCTATCGGCCAAAGGGGAGAGATGCTTTCGAGGAGAACTTTCTAAGGGGAACTGGCTCGCATTCATGTTACTCGCGGGGAAAACACCGAAAACCAATTATGCAGCCAGCCCATTCTTCTGCGCTCGAACCTGGATCAAACTAAAGTATTCAGCGGTTTTTTCCATTCGGCCATTTGTGAAGATCGGCATCAGTTTTACTACGTGCTAAAGTGCTGCAGCATTAATGTAATTTTCTATTATTATTAGGATTTATTTATAGGATAAATAAAGTATCAGAGCTTGTCTCATTTGGAGCATCTCCGGAGCTGCTGCGGGAATTGAAGCCCCGCTTGTGCGAGAAGTATGCAAGTGATCTAAATGAGATACCTTCATAAGATGGCTGACATCCCTTTAAGCCTTCAAAAGATGTTAGCGTCTTAATGAAGATCAGGCTTTGTCATGAAAAGCAACTTTAATAACAATAACAGCCTTCTTATACGGAGCCGCTTTTTATGAAAGTATGGTTTTTAGTTTGCTACTTTGATTAATGAAGAAAACGTACTCGTATTTGCGTAAGCATGCTGACATTTTTCTGAAACTTTTCTCCCCCCCCCCAAGTTAAAAATTAATTACCATAAAAGATGTAGGAATTTTCATGCAAAATTTTTTTATGAACGGTTTTGTTTTGAATACCACCGGATGACCTATATAAGGGTATTGGCTATTTTACATTAGGTCAATTTATAATACGAGTATACGAGGCCTAAGGAAAGGAATGCTCTCATGGTAGATTTTTTTAAAAAAAGAAATTGGATCGTAAAAATTTATATACTGGGAAAACCACGAAAACCAGTGCAGCTCGTTCACTGGGCCTTGCAGTTTTAGAATAAGACTCATTTATGTACAGATCCTTTCCTACCTTTAGCTGCTACAAGTTTATTCTTTTTTTAAGTATCGTTCCTCTGTTTATCTGAAGCCCCTCCAGTGGCCGAGCGGTTAAAGACAACTTAGTATTGGTAATTCGTTTTGGATTCGGAGGCAGTCAAACGGGTTAGTTGCATGGTTGGTTTTTATGATTTTTCTCATGTCTGCCCATATATAAGGGAGTAGGAGCCAGTTTACTATAGAAAATTCTCCACGCACGCGTCTCTCTGATAGCCCCCACATGTTTTCCCATACTCAAATAAACTAACCTTTATTTATGCAACTCTGACCTTTAGTATCACTCTTTGTGTTATTATATATTATTAGCTCAGCCATTATATTCTGCGATTATTTAACATTTTCATTTAACTATATAACACATTTAAATTCTAAATAGATGTCCATCTGATCTGCCGATGCGTTCCCACGATGTTGTGAAACGTAATATTTTTATTAAGTATCACATAAGCTGCGTGAGATTCAGGTCAGCTAGCTACTGTAGGAGTGTTTATATATATATATATATATACTAAAGAAATATTGATTATATTATCTCCTAATATTAATTTTAGTAGAAGTATCTAAAAAGAGTGAACCCAGAGGTAGGAAGTTTAATCCCAAAAATTGTTTTAAAGAAATTTGAATGTAAATTGTTAAAAATGTTTGACGGGAACTTGAATTAAATCATGAATAACACAATTTCAAACTTTGGAAAAGAAATTAAATTAAAAGCAAGTAATTATTGCTATTGATCGAAAATTAGTTGACTTTTCAAGGGAACAAACCAACTCCCGTTCAATGAACAATACTTAATAAATACGAAGTTGTTTCATCTTTTACTCAAGTAATAATGGTGATGCCAAACTGGCAAATTAAGTTAGGAAAAATAGTTCCGTGAAGTGAAGGTATTTAGTATCAAAGTAGAGTACCAAAGAACTCATTCCGAGTTAAGCATTTTCGCTAATACAAATTTTGAGTGAAAAGGAATTTATGTAGTAAAATTGATAAAATACTTGAGTATTTGTCCCCCGACATCACCATTATTACTTGAGTAAAAGACAAACCACCTCAATAATGGCATCACCATTATTACTTGAGTAAAAGACAAAACACCTTCGTATTTATTAATTATTGTTCATTGAACGGGAGTTGGTTTGTTCCCCTTGAAAAGTCAACTAATTTCCGATCAATAGCAATAATTACTTGCTTTCAATTTAATTTCTTTCTCAAAGTTTGAAATTTTGTTATTCATGATTTAATTCAAGTCTCCGTAAAACATTTTTAACAATTTACATTCAAGTTACTTTAAAACAATTTTCGGGATTAAACTTCCTACCCCTGGGTTCACTCTTTTTTGATACTTCTACTAAAATTAATATTAGGAGATAATATAATCAATATTCTTTAGTAAATAAATTATTATTATTTTACTTTGCAGCTATTGCGTTCAAGTATTAGAATAACTTGCTTTCGAACTAAGTGAATTTTAAGATCATACAACATTATATATATATATATTATATATATATGCAATAATTTAGGACTTATGGGAGAGAAGA